GGTGTGTCTTAGAAACAACCCCACTTAAGCTTAGACACACGGCTTAGGACCCTAGAAGAATCACAAGGCTGCAGTAGAAGGAAACACAATTTTAGAAACAAACAGTAAGTCTATCGATAAAGTGCATCTCCACCCACCAACTCAAGACACAGTCTGGGAGTTTGGTTGGTTAGTAGGCTTCATTTCTGTTTTTTTGGCTCAGAAGGTGTGCTCCCATTGCACCCTGCCAAAATCTCTCTCAACAGGGAAGGCAAGGAGAAGAAAACAATACAGCTGCCCTTGGGCCAAGTCTGTACATCCTACTGGTCAACCACCCCATGCTGTAAGACGCTGAGATTGTCAGAGACATCTACAGAGACTAGTTGAATAAAGACCAACTCCAGACTTGATGTTGCTGAGCTCCTCAGCGCCATCTTGCCATCCTGATTGATCGAGGAGATGGTCTATACTTTAAGTGGCACAGCACTTTGAGGGCTTAGTCATTAGAGCACTCTGTTTTGTCCTGGGAAGGCAACTTCTTGCTTGGCTAGTTATGGAAGCTAAGGAGTGACTTCAAGATGCTGTCTGGCCAGAATGTGCAGATAACCATAGGACTCTTCTCCTCCATCAGGTTTGGATTTAGCCTCCTTTGGTTCCTGCAGTGATGCAGGAGCCTCCAAATACCAAACTATTATCAGGCGGTCTTGGGGAAACCTCTGGGCCCTGCAATAAAGTAGACAGACTTTCTATTGGAAAGTACTCAGGAGGAGCACTTCAGCTCTGTTCACATTGCTCTAAGAATCTTGCAAACCATCTCTGGACTTGGTAAATAAAAATTTACCACACAGCTCCTGATAGCACAAAAGTATGTCAGAAGGTTGCTCTTTACTCCTCGTGGTAGGGATTGTATGCATTATTTAAAGGGCCCTAATCTAGTGACGGTTGCTTGTTTGTTGTTCGTTGTTGAAAGCAAAGGTACATGAGGACTGAAGCTCTGTCATTTTGGCCAAGCCATTTCCAAGAGTTGTCTACCAACTGAGGTGTTTACAGCGGGGGGAGGGGGGATCCTTACGGCCCATCTAGAAAGGGCACCAGCAGTCCATGAGCCTCCTCTGATTCACACTAAGACATTCTTACTTGCCCTGCTTAGCTTTTGAAATCTTGAGCCATTCAAAAGAAAATAAATAAATAAATAAATAAATAAATAAATAAATAAATGCCTACCTCTTGGAAATTTGGAGCATTTGGTCACACCAGACCCATGCCCCAGTATGGCCTTTATTAATTCATATTACTTTTCCATGATACCCTGTTCCTCCTATTGACTTGCCAGATGCCTGAAAATTGGATTCAAGACCTTTCTGTAGCACAGCCCATCTCAATGTTCGTCACACTGCCTTTGACCATGTGATAATCCAACTCTGCCTCCCTAGTGAGTGTCACTGCAGTTGGAATCAACCCTCTAGTTCCTACACCATAGAAGTACTGACATGGAATCAGTGGGTACTTAATGTATTGGAATGCACTGTCTAGAATGTTACACTTTGGTGGAAGGAAGCAGATTTCTCTCTCGGTGATAGAAAATGTGGCATCTACATTCAACATCTTTGACTATAGCATTCAGCTTCAGGAAGAATCAGTCGTCATAATAGTGTTTGGTCCAAGCCTATGATAGATTCAGACAATGGTGGTGACACACAGTCCAGTAAGATTTACTTTAAGAGCACGAGTTAAAGGCTAAGCTATCTTCAGAACCTTTGTAATAAGTTTTTTTGTCACCATCAGAGCATCTTTTTTGGAAGAGTCCTCCTTGAGAGGTTATTAGAAGTTGGTTTACTTAGGATACTCAATAAAAATCACCTATGTGAAGCTAGTCTCTCAGAATCCCATGAACCTAAAGTGACTGTATATACTGCTGCATATACAGTCTCTGTTTGTGAACTTTGAAATAGCTCAGTTGGGATGATTGTGACTTGTTTAGCCAAAGAAGATTTCATAAATCTTATTTTTCTAGAGTTGTCTAAATCTAGTTAAGTTACCTAATAATTTTGTTAAAAGTATATCCAATAAAAAGGACATGTACACAAGTTCTGTAGAAATAAAACCAATGAAAAAGGACTGTGAAGAATTTTTGTTACAAATCGATTGGTAACTAATACTTCAGCCGTAGATAGCCACATCTGGTCAACATCTGGTTGATGTCAGAAGCCCACTATGTCCTATGCTAGGTTATGGGTAGCAGGTTAAGTCACTGCTTTCCCAGAGCTAAAGCCAAACTTAAGCAGGACCACAGAGACACACAGTCAGATGTGGCCATACTCAGACAGCACAGGACAGCACGGGCACTGAACAGACAGGAAATGAACACAGGGCAGGGGAGGGTAAGTTCTCCTTTGTTCCCATTCCTTTGATAAAGTATCCATCTGTGATTTTTTAAAAACTGTTTTCAAAGGTCGTCAAAGACAAAGTGTGGGGAAAAGATAGTTTCAGATTGTGTAAGATAAGACGTATCAGAGAGTACTAAGCCCAGAAGAGTGTTTGGGTGGAGGGCTCAGTGAGACTTTATAAAGGAGAAGCCAGAGAGACTTGATGCTCCAGGGCCCAGGCCAGAGGCTGGAAGCTGAGGAGAAGCTATTCCTTCCATGTGTGGGTGGTACATCATCACTAAGCCACGGAACCAAAAGGCCTCCAGAAATAGCTAAAACATCTTCTGAAATCCCCACGGATTCTCGATTGAGGCGATGACTCTTGCAAACTTCCTCTCAGGACTCTAAGGGAAGACTTTCAGTGGAGTCACAAACTCTGCGGCCACCCACCCACTTCTTCCACAGAATCACCTACCCGTGAATAAAGGAAGTTTTCTTTTTAAAACTGTTTTTTCTTTTGAGATTACAACATAATTTACAATTTCCCCCTTCCTTTCCTCCCTAGAAACTGTCCCAAATACCCACTCCTTGCTTTCTTTCAAATTTGTGGTCTCTTTTTACATTAATTGTTGTGATATATATATATATATATATATATATATATATATATATATATTACATATATATATATGTAATACATATATCTATATCAGTCTGTGTGTATATACATAGATGGTAGATAGATAGATAGATAGATAGATACATGGATAGATATAGACAGACAAACAGACAGACAGATAGACAGATGATCCAAGGATATATAGATAGATATAGACAGACAGACAAACAGACAGATGATAGAGATATATCCCTAAATATATACAATCTGCAATCTGTATATTACTTGTATATTTGTTTTCAGGGCTGATCCTTTGGTACTGGATAATCAATTCATATGCTCTTCCCCAGTGAAGACTATTTCTTCCACTTTTAGCGTTCCTTAGTCACTTTTGGTTCCTGGTGTAACGCTGAGACCTTTGTGCTTGCCTCCATCCACAGTAGTGAGCCTATTGTTTTTGCTCATTTGTTCTTATTAGACACTTTGGAGCAAAGGTCTCTGTCTGATGATTCAGCCTAAGTTCTCCTCCATTGAGAAGGAAAGCAAACTTTATGTTCATTTCAGTTAACTCCACTCTCCAGCCTTGGGCTGCTGGAAGTACCACACAACCTAGTCTTCATGGAGAAGGTGATGTCAAAATAAGATACTCCTAAGGGAAAGACCCCAGATTCACTGACAGCAGTGTCTTCCTTTTCCTCATATTTGACTGGCATTTGAGATGTCTGCCAGGCATACATCTCAAGTATCCCTGGCAATGCCAAACTCCAACAAGAATGCCTAGTTCTAAACAATATCTCCTCTTCCCTTAGCCATACTGTAGTTATTAGAACTAAGAACACTTTGAATTTGAACCGTACTTAATGTTCAAGGAGTTTATTAATCCTTAAGCATCCTTGTATACATGTCATGTCACATAACAAACTTGGCTAAAATTGTTGGTGGGTCTGTCACACATCACAAACATAAATACTGTTATCTCTGACACTCGGTTCCAACTGCAATCTCAAACATGCCTTCAGATACATGTAAGTGGATAGAAAGAAGAGACAACTGTTTCTTATGTACAGAGAGACATCATCGCTAAGCCCTCTCATCCAATGAATTTTCAGCAAAATATCACTCTTTAAACCTAACTTTATAATTGTCCTCCTTAACCTTTGAGAGAGTGCAGTGGGGCAGAACGTGTGGCAGGTTATGGAGGGGTAGCTACACAGAGGACAGCCACCCCATCTGTACCAGAGAGCCCCCAGATCAAGACCACCTGATAGCCTAACCCCCAAGGGCCCTTATTCATATATAAGAGAAGGCCTGTATCCCAATGGAGAAAGCCTGTGTGTTCATTATGCTTTGAATTTTCAGACGCTCTTAAGGTCTTGCTTCATGTTTTATATCTGGTCAGTGGCTTAGAAGACAGGAGGGTGGGCCCAAACTTGCCAGTAAAGGCTGCTGGGTTAACATAATTATTAAAAGGCAAAGTCATTCTCCTTCTTATACTCAACTCACACTAACTGACGTGACTGTTGTGACATCGCAGGCCCCCGTGATGCTAGAAATTAGGACTGAGAAAAGTACACAGAACTACCCAAAAATCAATACCACCTGTACGAAACACAGAGGCTCCCTGGCTGCCTAGAATGCATGCCTTAATTGCCTTCAATAAGCCAGATTTAAGTTGCGTCAATTGCCTGTCAACTGTAAACGATGTGTGTGCGTTCCAACGGCACTTCTGCTTTCTGTCTCCATCCTTCTCCAGATAAGCATGCTTGATTACAGCTTCATGTTGACAAATGATTGCAGAAGATGGATTCCAAGAGAAGTCCATATCTATCCCAGTTCCCAGCCTGGCAGGAGACAAACCCCAAGAATCCCCCTAACTGACAAATGAAAGAATCTAGCCTAGAGGCCGAAGAGTGCAGGAATCCTCAAAGATTCCACTGCTCTCAGCCCCAGCCAGCCTTGTCAGAGTTTCTGATAAACATCATCATTGAAACAGCTATGCTACAAATGAGTCGGTAAGTATAAACATCTGTACTTACATGTGTCTGGCTTGAGCTGACTGTTGGTGATGCCAAAGTACTGAGGGTTTTCAATAACAGGAATCTTGGTCATTCCAATAATGACAGCATCAGGACCGCCCTCCGAAGAAGATGGAGTGTTGCTCCCATTGGAGATGTGGTGGAGGGGGCTGGCAGAGTCGTCGTCGTTGCTGATGACTGAAGCTGGCCCTAGAGTTGGAAGAAGCATAGGCGTTCTGTAAACTGAATGGCTTCAGTTGATCTTTAATTCGCATACGCTCCAAATGTGCAATTTCAGTGGGTTTTGGTATGTCCACAGTGTTTCAATTCTTACTACAATCTAATTTTAAGACCTTTCCCATGCCCTGGTTAGTATTTATCTCCCATTTCCCTTACTCCCAGTCCCAGACATGCACAAATTTACTTTCCTGCTCTGAGTTAACAAAGCTTGGCATACCACACAGGTGCAGACAGTGTAATCCGTGACTTTCACACGGCATCGTGTTTAAAAGGTTAAATCTCTCTCTGCCATGTGTCAATGCCTCCTTTTCATTGTTGAATGATCCTAAACTGTACAGACAGGGCACAAACCACTTATCTGACCCTCTGCCCATGGAAGGACTTGGGACTCTTTGACATATAAGTATATTTCAGCTGTGAACACGCATGTTCACATGTTTGTGGTGGCCCATGCTTTCATTGCTCTTGTGTGAGATCGGTAAATCCTAGGAAAGATCTGTGCTTAACATTTTGAGGGTCTACCTGGTATACAAAGTGGCTGCACAATGCTGTCAGTCAATTGCCAGCAACATACGAGGCCTCCAGTTTCTTCCTTTCCATTTTCTGTAATTGCACCTGCAGCTCCCAGGACCCTAGGTCACTTGCACACCTTAAGAGCACTCTGTCACTGAATACCTGGCACAAATCCAGGACACTTGTTTCTCTGGGGACTGAAAGTGATGTTGCAAATGTGGAGATCTGAGTTTCCTAACCTCACACGTCCGTTCACGAGCCTTCTCTGTGCATCTGCGTCTGCTCACAGTTGGGGACTGGACTGTGCTAGAGAGTACCCGGTTGTTATTGTATGAGACTGGAGTGAGATTAGGTATGAAAATGCATTACAGACTTAGAAGTGCTTCACATACGTTAGTGGATAGGGTCCTTGACATTACTGAGTTCCCCTTATATTATAGAAATAGCTCAGTATTTTTCATACGAGAGTTAATTTTTAATCCAGCGCCTCAGAATCCCTGACCCTGGATTCACCCCACTACCTTATGTCCAGCCAGTAAATATATCCACTGATGACTCAAGTCAACCTAAGTGAGTCCACATAGAAGAGTTCAGAACGCCGAATATCGCACGGATAGCCACTTCACACGGGGGAGCCAAGTCTTTCAGACACAGATCATGTGTGTGTGAAGTGTGCAAAATGAGCACGCTGTCCCCAGAGCATACAGGAAGGAAAAGAGCAAGGACGGAGGAAGGCAGAGTGAGAGGGAAGAACCAAACACCCAGGTGAGGCAAATGCTTGCTGAGGAAGAGAAGTCTGCGTTGCTCTTCTGGCCAAGGACATGTGTTTACAACCCCTATCCCAGCATGCACCAGTACCTCTGCATCTTCTCCACTTTCTCCTCATCCTTAATTACTTCCATGTAAAGCAATTACAAAAACAAAGGTTGTTTTGTCAGAGTCTGATACAGTCTGAATCCCTATTCAATATAATGATAATCCACCCACCAAACTCCAAGATCCATTTTTCTCCCTATGGGGATTATTATAGTTTGTAGTGATAACAATTGGACAGTCCCCAGCTAGTTTGTGTCTTAAACAAAGTATGCAAGGGGGGAACCTACTGCTATTACCGGTAATTTTTAAAGCAGTCTCTCAATGGGAGTGTGTTTAAGTTGTGTTTAATAATATGTTCTGGCTTGATGCTGCAAACATGTCCTCACACAGCCAACTTAGAAGCCATGCAACAGTCAAAGCCAAGGCAAGCCTGCCGGTTGGCTATGCTCATCTTGTGTCTTGTTCATCTGTGTTCCCAAACAGTGGAAGTGCTGCCAAGAATAGCTGTAAGGACAAGTTCTTACTAATATCCCCAGCCATCTCTGTTTTGTGATCTGCTTTCTGACAAGCCTCACTCACTCAGCTTCTAGCCAGTGATGGAAACAGAGATGTGTTCTGCTTGCATTTCTATACTTTGTCAGGAAAGCTTTCGTGATGCTGACTCTCTTGCTAGGTCCCCGGAGCAGCCGTTCCCTTCTGTAAGGCTACCAGCTACCAAAGCTTGCTACCCTTGGAACTCCCATGGGAGGTGCAGTCAAGGCCACATATTTCTCCAAAGATCCTAGGCTCCACCTTGACCCCCCAGAGATGGAGAAGTTGTCATCGTCAAATACTCCACTTGTTGTGACAAAACTCCTCCTGGAGCCTCAACCATAATTAGAAACATGTTGACTTCGGTTATTCTCTGGCCCCAGTTTGACTGTGAGACTCAGAGAGCAGAGCTGTGTGTTTTGAGTAGAAGACAATGGAGATTTCTCCAAAAATCTAGCACACTCATCAAAGCTCCTTATTCCCTGATGCACTTCAGCAGCTAAGAGCTGCCCCTCATATAACTTAGTGCAAAGGGATGCGAGCCGAGCCGAAGACATGGCGGCCGTGCACGCAGAAGAGCCTGAACTCTATCCTTAGCTGCTAGAGAACGAGACAATGTTTCAAAAGCCTTTTCACTTTGTAAAAAGTCACCGTTGACAAACGGAGTACCAGAAACCTCAACAATCCGTCAGAGGAATATTAATGCAACTGCCGTTCCCTTCATTAGTGATTTTTCCAAAGCCTGGAAGATTGATATGGCTGCCAAGGTTGTGGGAATTAAGACCGTTTTTCTACGAACATTTTAATATAACGGAACGCAGAGCACAGCAATGTTGGGAGGGGAGAAAAGCTCCCGGTGGGGACAATGAATGTCTATATAATTTGACAGCAGCCTGTGTGAGTCTTATGATTTGTGTCTTTGTGTGTCTGTGCACGTGGCTGAGCAGACATCACAAAAAAAGGAGACAGAAGTCAGAGGCACATCATAGCTTGTTACGAGAAACTCATGAGAACTTGAAAACTGTATTATAGTATTAACACAACGTTTTAAATTGCTAGGGGTGTATACAGCCAGCGAATTTTGGGGTAGTTAGTTCTAATTACAAGGCTGATAAACAAAGGTAGAATACATGAAAATATTTTAGCTAATCTTTATTTCTGTATAAAAAATTTAAAAAGAAATACAGAGAGACAACTTCGTCTCATCAGAGCTATATGATAACATATCCTATATATTTGATTTTTAGATGTCTCTAAGTCTAACTGAACATATTTTCCAGTGATTAAAATGGCCATCTGGGAAATAAGTTTCCTTCTCAATTCCAACAATGTCTTCAGAGGAGGGAGGGATTCCTACGCTTAAGCAGCTGAATGCATTGCCCGGGCTCTCTCTTTTCTGTGGGCTGGTGCTTTGGCTCCTGGGGGCTGCTGCTCGGTCTCTAGACAAAGTAAACGCCCTGGCCACCAGTTCATCTTCCACACACAGACCAACATAGGCCACATCCCCCAGTTACCTCCCTGTGTGACCTTCACCTTCCAAGTCACTATACAACTGTCCTATCACTCAAAGGCCAGAGAATTCAGGAAAGCATGGACATCCAGAGCCTGTGGGTTTATTGCAATCAGCCAGTCCTAGAATTGCTGCCTTTTCTGTCCCTGGTTCGTCCCCATGGACATAATAAGAAAGGCTTTTCCTCTCATCTCCTCGCTGCTTCTACCTCCTGACTGACTGTGGGGTGGGGAGGGGCACGTGTCCTGCACAGCCACTCTCCACAACATCACATTTCCTTTTAGAAACTCTCTGTCATAAGCTCTCCTCATAGTGGTCCTGTCTCCTAAAACTGCTGGCCTCAGCATACTTGATGGGTACAACAATAGCCGCTGGTGGGCTATACCTGGGACATTCTGAAGAGCAATCTACACTGCCACTTAAGAGGAGGAAACACACGTTTGAATCTCTCTAAGCATCCTTCTGTAGTTGAAGGTGTCTTGAAAGTGTTGAGGGGCTACAGTGATCAGCTGTTTAGGAAAAGGAAGACAGTATCATCTGGTACTATAGAGACAGAATGGCTCACCTTTCTCTGTGCACACATCCCTGAAACACAGGAGAGCCCTATGGACCACAGTAGAGGGGAAGACTCTGTAATGTCTCTGGCTATTTCTGAAATGCGCCTGTCGGGAGCTTCCTGGAGCCCCATGATCCTGGAGCTCCAGCTGGGTCTCATGTCTACTTTCCGGCCATTTGGTAGATGCTTTGCATGAGAACCTTTGAGGCTGGTGAAGGATGACTTTCCGCCCTCCAGGATTTTTCTGAATGGCCTGTCCCAATTCTGAAGGTCGTATGTGAATCATTGGGACAGACACTGCTAGAGAATGTCTGACTGCACGAAGTCCCATGTCAGGGTCAAAAGGTAAAGGAAGCAGGTTTCCTTAAATGACCGGGCTAAGCAAACGCTGGACAGATGCTCACAAATGTGTGGCTTCCTTACGTACATCCACCACTTAGAAGTTTTACCTAAAGCCAACATAACATCGCTAATGAAAGGAACAGCAACCAAAAGAGTCTGCACACGATGGCCAAATCTTAGAAACCCAGAAGAATGATAGAAAACTACCTTCTCAAGCTACCCACCCAACTTCCACTCTTTGTCTTTGAAGCCACAGCAAATGCCAGGCAGGGAGTGGAAGTCCTGAGAGATCACACCTGACTTGCACCCCAGTGATGAGGAATGCCATCTGCATTCCCTCCGCACAATACACGCGCTGCCTTTCAATTGTCCGCACTTGGTTTGAATGCGGGGAACAGAAAGCAATCAAGCACAAATCACAGTGTCTGGATGTGGAAGTCTGTTTTGGAGAAAAAAAAAAAAAACATCATCACAAATGAGCAGCTAATTCCCCAGCCCAGAATTCTACTGCACCGTAGCCAAACGAACAGTTAAGAGCCAAACTTGTCCAAGCTTGCCTGCTCAGCCAACGGTGCACGGCACGGTTGTACATCTACTCTGTGTCTTAAACCTTCAATGCCCATCACTGCCTAGAACAGAGACAGCCGTTGACACGCCCATTGGATTAAAAACAAGTCAGTTTCAGTCAGGCAAACCTACTTACTACACAGTTTGCAAAAGTAATATCTTTTGTAGAAAAAAAAAAAAGTTGAGTCTTTTGGTTCAACCAAAAGACAAAAAAAGAAGAGGAAGACCAATGAGGAATAGGGAACCTGAAGGGGTTCTGCCAGTCAATCGACTAAGCCCAGTAAAGCCAGAGGAGGAGTGACTACTTACCCACACCTTGTCTTGACTTTACTTTCCCAATTCCAAACCATGAAACATCTGCAAACCACAACAAAATATAAAATAAACTTCGAAAGAGAAGTGGAATTGGGAGACTGCCTTTAGTCCTATAACTCAGCAATACCCCTCCTCCACAAAAAAAGTTTCAAAACTAAAAAACCACTGGAGACCAAGATTTCCTCTCAGACACATAGAAACTAGGTTTCAGATTTCTGTGCAAACATTTGTCGTTCTTCTGGAGAACATGGGAACTTGAATCAGATAAGAGACAACAACCTGTATTCCAAGGAAACTCGGCCCAAGCCTAGGGTTAACAGCTCTGAGAGCTTTCTCGGTTTCTCCTTAGGCAAGGGGAGAAATCATTCCAATCTATTGAATCCTCTTCCAGGACAGCCTTGGGGGTGAAAGCTCACAGTGTTTTTGAAGAATGTGCCATAGCTCTACGGCCACGTGGAAAAAAATAAGAGAAAACAGAGATCTTATCTGAAGCAAGCGACAACAAAAAGTAAAGTTTCAAGGGGTGGGGGTGGGGTGCCACCATGGCTGGGGTAGCCCACGTGTCTTAGGGAACCACTGGGTTCTGTACAACAGAAAAATCTATGACTGTGAGTCCAGTAAGGATGCTGAGTCTGCCTAAGTCATCTGCTCCTCTGCTCAGGCCCTGAGGTGATCTTCATAGTCAGGTAAGGTTAAAACTATGTCCAAGAACTCAGTTAAGTAAAATGTTGCCAGTAAAATCTCCCTACGCTCTGCAGGATACCTCACAAAGTTGCTGCCCTGACTGATTCAGGTTTAGGCTCAGGTTTTGCTTTCCCAGTATCCTGCATGGTGGGCTTGCAACCTAAGCTGTTATCTATTTATTCAGCTACCGGGTTATCGAGATGCAGGAAAGTATCCCCGAGAGCCCTAAGCAAGTGCTGAGCTAAAGCCTCAGCACAAAGCTGTCTTTTGAAAAGCATTGATGGCCTTCATCTAGATACTTCCTCGCAGGTTTTACAAATCTGAATGCAAGCTTGGCCCAGTAAAGACCCTCTGCCCAGGGCATAGTAAGCTTCACTCATTAGACCAAGTCCAGCCCAACAGTTTCATGCTTATGGAGTTACCATGACCAGCCCTACTCAGGCCTTTCCTACAGGTCAATTTTGGGGTATCCTATGCATTTGTTTGTTTGGTTGTTGTTGTTTTGACAGTTCTGAGTATCAAACCCAGGGCTTCACACATGCTAGGCAAGTGCTCAGCCTCCAAATTACCTTCTCTACCTCTAGATATTTGTTCCACTTATCTTTTTAAAAAAATAAAATGATGGATTGTGTTTTTCAAGACTATTCTTTTTATTTGAATAATTCTTCAGGTACTTTTCTTTTTCACAGAGAACTCATTAAAGGTCAGCATTCATCTCTCCCTGACTCCACATTTCAGCTTACTTCTACTCATTAATTTACAATCAACACAGTGGCACTGGCCATCGTACACAACTGACGGGTTCTTCCCCTTTCCAAACATCCTCGCAGTAGCACAAATCCCTTTAGTAGAATTGCTACTGAGAGAACAGGCTCGGTCAGAACCACTTTGAGATGTATCAAGTCTTACTTTTAGCAACAATGTATAAGCGAGTTGTCTACATTTGAGCTCCAGCCCAATGTGCAAGCCTGAGCCATCTCCTACTCCCTCTCCACCCTTCATGCAACTCCACCTTACTAGCAGAGCCTTGTGTCCTCCTATCTGAGCCCCTGAAATCATCACCACACCATTTCTCGGATGCTGCTGCCTTGTGTGTGTCAAAGAACACTGTAGATGAGAAAAGGGTAGGCATGCCTGTCGTGCAGCCCCACCATAGTCCTGGTGAAAGTGTAGCCATAGTCCCGGTGCCCACTTGCTCTTCAGCTCGTGAAATCTTTCCTGAATCACAAATCCCTCTAAAGTTGCTCGCAAGGAGTCAGACTCTGAGAGGTCACCCCACACTGGAGTGACAGACAGGGGATTGTTCTGAGAACTGGATTTTCTTTTGTCTTTTAAAATTGCCTTTTCTATATCCAAAGTTGCCAAAATTCACCAAATTTTGTAACATTAATTATAATTACTTGAGTTTTCTGTATACTCAAATGCTATTAGTGGTTATTAATCCGACTGTCAGAGAGACTTCAAAGAGTGACAGCTTCAGGAGTTGCCACAAGGAGCTTTTGGCAGAAAGAGAGCCAGCCATCCTAGAGTACTTCAGTGTGGGTGGCACTCAGAGGAGGAGAAGCCACTTCATCCCAGAGGAGAGATGAGGTTTCAGGAGACACAGCTCTGAATCAGCACGGACTAGAATAAGCCAAGCACAGCGTGGCACATAGATTCTCCAGATTTCTGATGTCCACTTAAGCCGTTCCCAATTAACAGCCATGTTAAGGCGATTTGCGTTTGGAAGATACCACACTTCAGATTTTGAACTTGTCATCTTTTCTCCAGGCCCTTTATTCACTGGAGAAATTCAATGGCAGGAGAAGACACCACTCCTGCCAACCAGGTGAACACCACTCCAGAGAGCACTGCACTTCCAACAGAGCTGGACATTAGACTTGAAACAAGACAAAAGTGTCAGCAATCTCATGTCAGGGAGACATTGGATCATTTAAAGTGTCAGCGATCTCGGGCCAGGAAGGGACTGGATCAGTTCATCTCAGATAGGATGTCTTGGCTGCAGGGTGGCATCAGAATTATGAGAAAGACAAAGAGCAAAAGAGCAAGAGACTGGGCTAGAGGTTTAAAGACAAATGAAGGCTTGATAAACCCATAGCCTGACCGGTGTGGGGGCAAAGAAGAGGAGATGACAGAGTTAGGGAACCAGAGATCAACTATAAGTTGAGGGGTCTGGGGAGGGAATCACACAGCTTCCAGTTGAAGACAGTGAGGGATTTGATGGTACTGTCCAAATGGTCCTAAAGGAACCTAGAACAGAAACAACTTTATAGCTCTAAATGGAAGCTTCTTAGACACAAATCCCAAATAAGAAGTTAGGGCAAAAATCCTTACTCTGGTGCTTGGGAGGAAATGAGAAGGGACTTATTTAGTTTAAATTTTAAGGCTCAAAGGTTTGCATGTGTTCATAGGGTCTATGCATGTCCAAAGGCTTGATCGCTGGTGTAATGCTACGGCAGGGTAGCCGTACCATTGAGAGGTGGAACCTAATGCTAGAACTGCCGGTCTTTGGAGAGAGTGCCCTTCAGAGATTGTGGGGCCCCAGGATTTTTACTTGCTATCAAAGGACGAGCTATTTTGATCAGATGTGACCTCTTGATGGGATTAGCTGTGCAATGCCCGCCCACAGGCCACTGAAGACAGAACCATGGGGAGGTGACTGGAGAATGTCATGGGCATAAGCTATGAGTCACGGTCAACTGGTTCTAAACAGACCGCTCAGGGACTTTGTTACGGAGACAGAAAGCTGAGTAACGGGAAGCATCGGGATGGCTCAGAGCAGTCAAATGCTCACATCCTGGCTCTCGGGGAACTGGAAAAGGGAGATGGGGCTGGGTGAAACTTACGCACTGCTCATTTTAATTCACAAACAAGAGTACTCAACTGCTGCTAAGTCCGGGTAAGCTTATTCCTGACTTGCTGATGTCTATGCTCCCTTTAGAAGGGGTATAGTCACAACAAAGAAGAGAATATGAGTTCTTTTTGAAATTTAGAGCCTGATGGCTGCCCCCCCTTCCTGGTCCCTCCTCCCACAATCCCTTCCCCTGAGAATATAAACTTTGGGGCCTCTGAGGCCAGAGAAGCCCAAGAGCTTCAGAGAGATGGAGTGGCCGCCACTCTCCCAGAAGCTCTGGCCGTCCAACTCCTCCTTCCTGATGGACTGAAGCAGTAATCTTAAAACAAAAGTAATGTTCTCACTTTTTTGTGGTGGCTCACCCATGGGGACTGGGGCCTTTCCAGCTTCCTGTTGTTTTCTGTTTCATGAGACATTTTTTTTTTTGCAGCAGAATGAAGGGCTCCCTCAAAAGTAAATGTGGGTGCAGTCACCATAAAGGCTTTCTCCCTTTCGGATTCTATTAAGAAGTTAACCAGTTAAGCCCTAATGATTTTGGAAAAAGCTGACCAGAGAATGGAAAAATAACACACCAGTACATCAGCAACTCTGAGACAGAACAGAAATGAAAGAAAGTGAAGGGGAGGAAACACCTCTCCAAGGAAACAGTGAGGATTTAGTGAGTTGAAAGGGAAGTATTCATAACCAAAGTTTTAGTCAGAGAAGGGAGCCAGAAATGGGTAAATGGATGAAACCTGACCATCCCTGCAGATCCCAGCCACACAAGGGCCTCGGCGTCAGCTTTCCAATGGTTCTGACCTTGAGGCACCCCAGTTTCTGGATTGCCTTTTATATTTCAGAAAAATCACATTTGTATGTGGAGAGAAAAATCATTAGTCTCCAGATCTTATAACTCCACAGAAATTAAAATTTGTAAGCACCGTTATCTCTCCATCCTTCATCCCCAAGAACAACACATCCACCGCTGTGGGGGTGGGGTAGGGGGATGAACACACTGCTCTGCAGCAGAACAGCTCCCCAGCTGTACTTCCTGAGGCTGTGCCTTCTCCCAGAGGGCACATGAAGGAGGCAGCTCCAGGCTGCTTTGCCTAGGGGAGGGTACTGAATACAGTGCCAGCATCTCAGGGAGCGTGTGCTATTTCCAAACTGCTGGCCACTGGCATAGAGGAGAGGTAGAGTAAAGGGTCTCCGGGCTGACAGTTCCCTTTCTAGCTGACCTGCAATCAACTAACTAATAGCTGGTCTCAGAAGAAGGTAGTTCAGGGCTAGGTTTCCACTTCCGCTCCACCTCACTCTGTACTTTTGGACATAAGCACTATAAACAAAAGTCCCGTCATAGACTAGGAAGAGGGCTTGGGTTGAGTTGAGTTGATTCTGAATGTCATGGCGTAAAGAGGACTTCCCATCAACCTTCTCTTCCCCTTTCGATTTCATTATTCTCACTGTCCTCTGGGGAAAGTGTCGGTAAACTGTTCCTCGGCTGGAAGACATGGCTCAGTGGCTA